CGCGCCCGGGCGAGAGCGCGCGGCCCAAAGGGAGGCACCGGCGCTCGGGGGAGGGACTACGGTAGGCCCCCTGCTGGAGCGCCCACGCCCCCAGCCCAGCAGTCCAGGAAAGCAGGTTGCGGCGGGCGAAGGAAGGGGGCACCCGCGGCTGAGAGTGGGCGACAGAAGCCCCGCGCGTACCAGACTCCTCGTCCTTCTTGTCGAATTTTTTAATCATCTTGGACGACTTCCCAGCGCCCAGACCCACCGCAGTAGTCCCAAGCGCCGTTGCTGGCAAGCGGAAGAGGCTGCAGGAAGGCCGGCCCCGTCCTTTCTCGGTGGTTGGGCCGCCCGGCTGTCACTCGGGGCCAAGACCCACCCCCTGGCCCGTCGTGGCCGCCCTCACCCCTCTGGGAATGTAACCACGCCTTTTCGCCCCACATCCCCGCCGCCACTAGGGGCGGGAGGAGGCGGGGCCCCGGGCTCGCCCCACCCACTGCTCGCGCCTCAGCCCACGCTTTCTGTGTGCTGCAAGGTGATTTTATTTGGTTGGCTACTTCTGCTAGCTCCTCAGTCCCTGTAGAGCCAGGCGAGAGCCCTGTTGTTTTCACTTAATGAGCGTGGCATTTTTGATAATCCACTGCTGGGCCCTTCCGTTGCGGAAGTTTTCCCCCGGCGTGCTTCGGCTGGGCTTCTCTTTCTGAAGCGATGAAAGTGTGAGTGGCTCCCGAAGCACCTGGGAAGTGGGCGTCTCATTCACTGAGCTGTTGGAAGCTACGACAAAGCACAGGGTATCGTAGTGGATGTCATTTCCAAACATGCTAGAAGGATACCTAATGGGAGGCTTGGGAGGACCAGAAAGTTGATCTTTACTCTTAGCAAGAGGCTAGATATTTTTTTAGATTGCAGACTGCCATTCCCAGCTTAAATAACTCTGAATACCTTCTCTTCATCAAAACCTAGTCTGAAGCACCCTGCCAGTTTAATCTTTCTTGCTTAGTACCACCCTTTTCAAGGGATTCCATCTCCAGCCACTTTGACAAGTCATACTAAGTTGATGTGCACTCTCGCATGCCTTTTAGCCTTTCAGAAAGTATACATTGGTGTTCTGGTGTTTGGGAGTGTGACAAACTTTTTCTACCTTTGGCCTCAGTGGCATTACTTTATCCAGATTCTCTTATCGGCCTGATTTTCTGGAAGCGTGGGATGGTCTTGCGCCCATCTCTCCCCCCTTTTTTGGATGTATTTTGCCTTGTGTATATCCCCTCATCCCTACTGCCATCACTTTGGTTCCAGTCCTGTCCTCTGCTTGGACAGCCTCCTAACTAGCTTTCATGGCTTCCACCCTAACCGTTCTTGGTGTAATCTTTTATTTGGATGCCTCATAAACAAGAGGCATTATTTTGGAGGGGGAACACTGGTTCAACTCCTCAGGAGATGTGTCTTTGTTTAGGAAATGCACTATAACGGGCCCTTTATGTACAAAAGTAAACTATCCACTTTTTTTGTTTTTTGAGGGAAACTACAGGTCACTTCACCTTAAATCAAGATAGGAGCTGCCAACTGAGATATTGTGTTCTTTTTGTATATGTAAATTGAGTGCATCCTGTTAACCACCTTGCTCTTGCAAGATTAGAGAAATTCAAATCTAAATTAGAGTCTAGAAAAGTTCTTTCCCCCATATGGATGTAAGCTGAACTGCAGTATCCTACATATGGTATCATTTAAGATTTAATTCAGACTTGACTAAATGTCTTGTATTAACTATTTTGTTTGCTTTATCTGGCTTATAATGTTCAGACCATGTTTTCCAGGTGGAATTTCTCTTGGAAGAAATAGATGTTTGCATTTATATAGTCTGGGGCTGAAAATAAACAGGCTTAGGGGAAGGAGAGATCCACTTCCCCTTCCTTGGGCCAACAGTATTGGGAACTAAGCAGAAATAGTGTTCATAAGCTTGGAGAGTCCCAAGAATAAAAATGTGACAGAGACGTGCTGGGAAGTACAAAGAAACTGAGGTTGGGATGAGGCTGAACCTAAGAGTGGCCCCTTTTAAAGAAAAATAAATCACTCTCTGCTGCTTTTGTTCTACATCAAAATTCAGTTTCATGCCACAGTTTGGTTTTAGTTGCATGTGAGGAGTTAGGGAAAGACAGTAAGTAGGGGTGTCGTGGGGTGCAAATAAGTATAGGAAGAACAGAGAAGCCTGAAGAAGTTAAGTAGGGTTGTGCAATATGACCTTACACCTCTGGGACTATAGCCTGAGGATGGCTGGCAAAGGTGTTAGGCAGTCACTGGGGTGGCCTTGAGGGACGAGTAAGGATACCTTTGGGGGAGGAGTCTCAGACACTGTTGAGAGAAACCCAGTGGGAGGAATGGAACTTTTCTTGCAGCCATGGCTGATGAAGTCTAGGGGCCCATGTCTAAAACACATTTGTGTATCCAGTGCCCTGAAAACCTTCAGTGGGCCCCAACTACCAAATGGAGAAAATTTATATTCCATAGTATGTGGGGCCCTTCATGGTCTGGTCCATCTGTCTCACATATTGGAAGTGTTATCATTGGTGTTTGCTAAGTACCCAGCATTTAATAGGGACCCTGTAAATGTTGTTAAACGAAAGTAAGGAGCATTTTCATTAACACTGTCTTCCATACAACCTTATTTTAATTCCCTTCAACCTCATCCCTTACCTGAACTCCAAAGAGACCTGTTGATCTCTGAGACTCACAGACTTATCCTTTGACTCCTCTGAAGCAGTTATCCTCAAGTATGACAGGCATATGTCTGGGTGGTTTTATGTGGTAGATAGGCAAATATTTTAAAATTTATAAATTTGTATACCAAAACCATGATGTCAACAATATGATGTGATTTAGGACAAGAATTTTAAAAATCCTTTTAAAGAAAAATGCTAAGCAAATAATAGAGCAAATAATATTAATAACTATAAAAGGTGATATAGTTTGGGAAACACTATGCTTGCACTTTCTTAAAATTTTGGCTTTAAACAGGGTTCAAAACCTTCTCCACTTGAGCTTCTTTTAGTTCTTTGCTTGCCTGCTACAAGGGAAAATAGTGTCCAGAACTCAAGAAATATCAATTTCCCCATATCTCCAATCCCCATAAATTCTATCTCTAGCCCATATCTCAGTCCAGAAAAACACTGCATTGAAAGAGAAGAGCTTACCATCTTTCATCTTATCTCTTTCACAGACTGGAGCAAAGTTAAGCTTTGGATACATTTTTTTCTGTTTCCTCAAAGCATAGGTTTTCAAATACTGCCCTTCCGTCTTAAAGTCATTGTCCGTTGAAAACCTTAACCAAAAAAAAAAAAGTTCATTTAGTGGATCCTAAGGAAGAAGGTTGATGGTTGGTACTGGGCACTTTAAAATTGACTACAGGGCTAGGGATTCAGCTCAGTGGTTCCACCGCCTGCTTCGCAAGTGCAAGGACCTGAGTTCGATCCCCGGTACCAAAACAAAACAAAACAAAAAAAATTGACTACATCCTCGGAGATTCCAGGAGAGAAGAAGAGACAATGACGAGGCTGCTGATTAGTATAGCGTGAGAGTATCATTCAATAGCAAGGTAGCACTGCCAACCCTTGAAGTAACTTCAGAATCTCCTCTCTCTTTTCCAAACTAGATAAAAGCTGCTTCAGTAACTGCTTTCAAATAAGACCTCTTTTGTTTTTGTATTTTCATGGCACATTATTCCTGTACTATAGTCTTTAATTTGCATCTAGGATACATTTTTTTGTCTCCTCAAAATGCAAACCTTAGAATAGAGCACTCGCCTTCACTCTTGAAATCACAGTCAGTGAAAAACTTTAGTTTTCATTATCCTCTCTCTCTCTCTCTCTCTCTCTCTCTCTCTCTCTCTCTCTCCTCTCTCTCAGACAGGGTCTTGCTATTTGGTTCAGGCTGGCCTTGAACTCACTGTGATTCTCCTGCCTCAGCCACCCAAGTGCTGGGATTACAGGCATCCGCCACCACGCTTGGCTCATTACTGTTTCTGTGTGTGTGTGTGTGTGTGTGTGTGTGTGTGTTTGTGTTATGTGTTTTTTTGGTACCAGGGATCAAACTCGGGACCTTGCGCTTTCAAGGCAGGCAGCAGAACCACTGAGCTAAATTCCTGGCCCAATTAGTGTATACATTAAAGGTTATGTAGGGGAAAGTTCATGAGGTTGAAAGTCATGTAGGGAAGCCATGTCTCATTATTACATAGTTGGACATACTCCTTACAACTAAAACTATGTGAGGAACTTTCTCATTCCATCTTGTTCTGTGCAATCTTATCCAAAATCCCTTTGGGTCCCCTTCTGTGTTTGTTAAATTGTATTGAGAGGAGACAGTAACAAGAAAAGACATGAAAGAGTGAGTACAGGACCATTTACCTAAACCATTGGTTTTCCTTGGATGTAGGATCATCAAACTTTTTCACAGAGAAGATTGGTTTCAGCCCCGATCTCAACATTTTTTTCTGAAGCATCAGGGGTGGGCAAAAGTTCTTGGTGGCTTTGTGCTGATGACTTTCCTATATGTGGCAGAGGGAGAAAAAGTGAGCAAGTAAGCTGAGTCCCTTAGGAATTGAAGCCTGGACTAAGTTCCTGGACTGTTGTAATTCCTCTGAAATGATGGGACAACACATGAGGGAATTGGGAATTTAGAAACCAGAACCAGAGGAAGCAGTTCTGAGTGAGCTAATACTTATGTTTCATTGCCAGATGGCTTGTCCAAAGGTGGTCCATTTCTTTGCTTGCTTGCTTGCTTGCTTTTTTTTTTGTACCAGGGATCAAACTCAGGACCTCACACTTGCCAAGCAGGTGCTATGCCACTGAGTTAAATCCCCAGCCTGAAAGGTGGTCCATTTCTTAAGCAACTGATTGAAATTTCCTACTGGCCCTTGGAAGTGAACAACAGAGAAGTTACTATGTTCGGGGAAGGTTTCAATCAGCAAATTATTTGAGAAAATGAACATTTGAAGAGAAATTGGGAAATAAATCCATGGGACTCTACCTTCCTTTGTTGAAGATGACTGCCTTATCCACATTCCTTTCTCTGTCTATAGTGAAAAGGCCTGGGGGTGGGGTGTTTTGTGAGGTAATAATTGCACTGCTCCTAAAGATCATAGAATCAAAGACCTTCAGAGTCTTAAAAGTCTTCCATTCTAACAGTTCCTGTGGCATTCATATCCCTGCCATCATTTCACTACCAAGTGATTGATCCCCCTATATCTAAAAAACAAAAAAACCCAAAACTTTGACCAGCCAGTAGCAGTGTCCCTATAACTTTTACCCAGTAGACCAAACAGAACAAATCTAATGCCTCTTCCAGAGCCCTTCAACTTTTTGATGCAATCCATTATTTTCCTTCCAAGCTATGTTTCTTCCAGGTTAAACATTACCAATATCTTGAACTTTTCTTCCTATAACATGGTTTTGAGTTCCTTTATTCTGCTGATTTATCTTATTTGAGAAAATTACAATTTATATTTTTCTCTAATGCATAGCAATCTGAAATGAAAACAATGTCAAGTGTAGTAATTGCATGGTTTTGACCTCATTGAAGTGTCTTTTCATAAGTCATTATCTCTGCTGAGAGCCTTCCCTAATCCATGATCCAAAACTGCCATTCACAATCTATCCCTTTATTCTGCTTTGTCACCACACTGTTACATTATATATTACTGTATGATTGTTTACTTGATTGTGGTCTGTCTATCTCACTAGAATTGAACTTCATTAAACTAAAGACAGTCTTAGGGATGTTGGTGTATCCCTAATAATGTTTGGCATATAGTAGGTATTCAACTAATATTGTTTGAATGAATGAGCACAAACTATTAATTGATGTATTGAGCTTTTTCTTTCAGAAATTGAAAGCCTTTTTTAAAATACTTGCTGTCGCTGAACCATATTTTCTTAATCCTGAACTCATTCTCTTTAATTTGTTCTAATTTTATTAAAATCTACTCAAGTCACCTCAACTAACAAGGGTTTTAATGGAAGAACACATATGCCTAGGAACATAGCTAATAACCCAGCCATAAAAAGAAGAGAAGTACTAGCAGAACTGGGCCTTATAGCAGAAAAATAGAGCTTATTTGAAATAAAAAGTGGCACTCTATAAGAACCACTGCTGTAACCTTAATATATCACTATTACTAAAATGTCCTCTCTTACTTTCTTCCTGTCTGCTTCCTTTTTCACTTCTTTCCTCCTCTCCCATGTGTATTCTACTTCTGTAAAACTTCAGCCCATCCTCTACTTTCATGGCCCCTACACTGTCCTTCCTCATGGTTTGATTCTTTTATGGCCTCACTCTTTGTGCCTTATGTTTAGTTTTCTTTCCCACTGCTTTAATCTTTTCATTTTCTAATTCCGGTGTCTGGAAGCAAAAATTTGATTAACTGAAGAATTTCAGTTGTTGGTAGGTAGGTTTTTATTCTGACTTTCTATTTGTTTGGGTTTGAAAGTACCCCATCTACTCTCAAACCAGTAGAGAGACAGGGTGATATTGTGCAAAATAAGGCCCCGTAGGCCATTTCCACGGGAGACTGTGGTAAGGCCAGTTTTACTTAGAAGAAACTGTGAGTGTAAAAATCACCTTACATTTTGCAACTTGGCTACTGGAACCCACACTCTTCTTACACATGTGCAGGTGTGTGAAAAGAATGCTTATCTTGCCTGGCCTAAATCCCAGCTACTCAGGAGGCTGAGGCAGAAAGGTTGCAATTTCAAGGCCAGCCTGGGCAACTTAGCAAGACTCTGTCTCTAAATAAGAGAGTAGCTCAGTGGTAGAGTGGGATGTAGCTCAGTGGTAGAGTGCTTGGCACTTGGCTAGCTTGTGTAGAGCCCTGTGATCAACCCTTAGCACCACAACAGAGAGAGTGAAAGAGCGAGAGAGAGAGAGAGAGAGAGAGAGAGATAGGCATTTGTGTATACAAGATTCCAAGTTCACAAAATACTGTACTTCTCAGCAAGCAAAGGAGAGGATACAGCATAAATATTGAAGATCCTTTGTAGATATTGTGCATTCCAGTCTTTCATAATCAGAGCTTAATTCTGTCTAATAATATAATCTAACTGGTACCACAGTTTGCTCAGATTCCACACAGTCTGAGGGGTCACAAAGTGCTAACTACTGGAAGAAAGTTCTTTTTGCACCCCAGTTACAGGTTTGTCTTGTATTTTCTCTCCATGTTGAGCCAGGCAATCCTGGCTGGGCATTTGTTTCTCCCTCAGTGCATATTATGGACTTCCATGAGAAATGACCACTGAACTTACCTTCAAATGGCACAAATTCTGAGACCCAAGAGACTGCAGGCAATGAATTTGTTAATTCCTTTTGTCATACATACCATTAGATAGTAGAATTTTATCTTCCTCTTGAAGAGGAATTGCTCACTGCCATCCATGTAACAACTAAGAAATTTGGAATGTACTAATTCCTAATGTGCTGTATTTTATTATAAGGATCTGTCTTGGTTTCTTTGTTTTTGTTTGTTTTGTTTTTGTTTTTTGAGACAGGGTCTTGCTGTGTAGTTCAGGCTGGTCTCGGACTTACTATTACCCCAGGCTGGCCTTGAACTTCTGCCTTAGTCTCCCAAGTGCTAGCATTACAGGTGTGCACCACCATCCCCAGCTAAGGATTTGTCTTGGGATACCCCATTCCCTAATTTCTATTATATTCCTTGTTTGCACTTTTACTTAATTTCATCTTGTTAGATTAGACCCTTTCTCAAGGCTGTCAACATTTTGCTTATATCTTGATTCCTAAATATCTCTTAAATCAATGCTTCACTTCCTCTACTATTGATTTAGTTCAAATCTTTAGTATCTTTCAGCTTGACTATTATAGTAACATCATAACTAATCTTCTCTGGATTTTGTCTCTTTCACAACTTATGCACCTTTCTTCAATCTGCAAAATGCTCTCTCTAAAACATAAATTTGATTATATCCTTTTATCTCCTGCCGTTACTCTCTTACATCTCCCTGAAAGTGCCTCGCTTTCTTGTGCCTCCATGCCTTTGCATTTCTCTGTGATTAGAACATTTCCCTTTTCTTTTATTGTGAGTCATCTCCTTGATTACTCTGTTTCTCCCAACAGAAATATTGTTCTGTAGCCTACATTACTTCTGTATCTTGTATATTCTTTGATTATTCATATATCTTGGTATTACTTTTATGTATTTAATTGATTGATCACCAATTGGATTCCAAGTTCCTTCAAAATAGAAACTGTCCTATAATCATCCTTTTATTCTGGTTATTGGCTTACTCTATGTTCAACAATGGTTTATTGAATGGGATTTGAACATCTTTAAAGTTCCAATAAAGTTCCAATATATCTATCTACTGTGATGGTAAATTCCTTTTTCCCTCCTCCTGATACCTGAAAGCAAAATAAAACAACCTTTACTCTTCTTCCATTTAGATATTCATTGCTGTTCCTCAATTTCTGATTCATCTTTTACTACCTTATTCTCAACTAGAAAGCCAGTGGACAGTTTCCCTTTGGTCTTTACAAACCAAGTATCTTTGGCCAAAGAGAAACACTTTACAGTTGAGACCCCGTCTTCTCCCTGTAATGATATTTCATGACCCAAGCTTGTAGAATTCATGTTCTGAGTATTTCCACAGGCCCTCTGGATTTTGCTTTGTGAATCATCTAGCCAGGAACTAGAAGACAAAGTTAGCTTCCTGAGTACCATCTCCATGTTGTTAGTTCCTTTCTCAAGTTTACTCTTAATTCTTCAGAGTCCACAGTTAGAGAGCCAGGAGACTTCCCTATGTAGCATTACCTTGAACAATAAGTCCTTAGAAAAGTATTTCAGAGCACTGTCCTTTTCCTGCTGGCAAATTGAACAGGGAGGTGTGTTGTTGGTCATAATCAGTAAGGTCATATCCTGATCATATTCAGTTACTTTTAACATGAAGCTAGTGATTTTCCTGTTTTGATCCAGGAATTTCTGCAGTGTAGTGGGCTTCAAAGGCTCATAGTACTGGGCCTGGGTGGATAGAAGGGTTTCCAGAAAGACAAAGAGTTAGATTGAGAATACTAGCAAATCAGTTGGCTAAACTACGCTGTGGGGTAAAATCAAAGGCTGAGCAGGGACTGGACTAATCTGCTCCAAAATATTGATCCTAAACTCTCAGAAGCCCTCTATCCTCATCTTCCCTCAGGGCATTCATTACCCTTCAAATAACCTAAAACGCTGGGGAAACACAATAAAAAGTTTCCCATGATAACAGAAACAAGATGCTTAAATTCTTCCAAAAATAGTGTAACATGTTACCCAGCATAGTAGGGCAAACTGGGAAGTCCTCTGTGGCTCAGCCTGATTTGCCTTCCCTTGGCAATTGTCTCTGCAGAGAGGGGAAGCCAGAGACCAAGCTGCTTGTGCACGGAGGAGTTGTTCATTAGCAGGCCCAGCAAACACCTCCCTATTTACAACTTCCCACTGCCACTGCCTCCCCACCGGCAAAGTCGCCTGAACAGGCAGGCATTCATAAGCAAAGGAAAGGCAGTCACGAAGCACAGCATGTCACTTAAGGTGTGGGTGGGATGGGGCAGCCCCACTACATTTGCTTTTTTCTCAATAAGAGAACTAGAGAGAGAAGAAGGGAACAGGAGGGAACGAATATAAATGTTTTCTTCGATTATAAACACGTTTTCTCAACTGAGAAAAATATCATGTGGAAGAATCACTTTCTTCCCAGGCCCTCCTCTCACCTCACCACAACAATTCCCAAAAACTGCCTCTGGCATTGAAGCCAGAGCTGCTCTGCCTACCTCCCTGTCTGGGAAACGGGGTGGGGCACATTTGGCATTAGGGGGACACTCAGTAGTAAGCACTGAATTCTTACACTGAGTTCTGCACTGCTGCTGAAACTCATCCTTTGAGATTTTGGGGGAATGCTTTTCCACCTACCAAATCTGGATGGGTTGTGTAGTATTGAAGGTTCTCTAGGACAAATTTTGATTGGCCAACTGCATCAAAAATCTAAAGACAATAATCAGAATTAGTGGTTTCACACTGTACCTATCTTAAACAATATTCTACTGCTTACTTGGGCTCATTAAAAAGGGGCCTTTAATGAATGCTAAGTGAGGAGAACACTATGCTTTATGTTTTGCACACTTTTTTTAGAACAAGGGGCATAGCACATAGAGCTGGGACCTGGGACATCATGAGAGGAAAGCTTATAAATGGAAGTGTAGACCAGGCTTAGGAAATGTCAGGGATACTGTCAGGAGGTGAAGTAGACTTAGTGAGCATCAAAGTTTGGATTAAGACAAATCACTGCATTAAATCACACTTCTTTCTCTGCTTTTTCCATCTCTACAGGAGGGAAATCAGGTGGCAGTAAACATGGAGGACAGCCTTTAAGGAGAAAAGCAATTATAACAGGGCAACAGCCTAAGGGTTGTGGGTGCCAGGGTGCCCTAGATGCAACTCTGCAACTGAGCTAGGAGCAGACACACTCAGAGAGGAAGGGAGAAGAGGAGACAGTGCCTGTTGCATTTTTTGAACATCTCTGCAATACAATTCTAGAAATGTTGCAAAAAGTAATTGAATTGTTATCACTTCTGTCTGCTACTTTGTGCTGTTGCACCGGTGGTAGTGCTGGCTATCTGCAGATTGAGGGTCATGTCTGTATCTGAGTGGCTGAACCTCTTTCACCTCCCTGCTACTGCTTCTGGCATTGTTGCTTCCCCTCTCACCTCGCTCCAAATTATCTAAGGATAAATCAAAGGGGAAAGAACATTGAAGGAAGAAGCTCTGGTTTGGGCTTGACATAATCAGAAATCGGGGAAGGGGATCATGATCCTGTGTTTGGATCAGCATCTCTAAAGATGCTATGCCCCCAAAGAGGTGGTATGGTAAGATGGCCCAGGAGAAAGTAGATACACAATGGAAGGTAAAGAAAGCAAGAAGGTGAATGAAGAAGGCAGTAGTAAGAATGGGACAGAGCTCTGGGAGAGGAGTTGACGGGCTTCAGAAGGAAAATGCCAAGTTATCTGGTAATTCTTGGTCATTGGAAGAAGAAAGGGCAGAGGAATAGGAGAGATACCCATACATCTCTTAGGGAGGGTGGGATGAAATATGAGACAAATTCAAAGATATAACCAATTAATTTTTATTGTCTTTTTCAAAACTGAAGTCTACTTATTTAAAATATATTATGAAAAACCTGCTTCAGAAATATGGTATATATGATATATTTACAATTACTAGAAATCTAAGAAAGTTTTTTTTTAACTTGGGAGAAAGGTATGAAGACTTTTATTCTTTAAACAGTTTTTAAAAATTAATTTTAGAGGGGAAATTCTCTGGAGAAAATGTTTTTACTTCTGATTTTTTCTGAGGTATTGCATCTCTGTTCCAAACTAGCCTTCAGCAGTTGACTAAACCCACAAGATTGTCCAAATTGGAATATGTTTTTAGTTTTGTTATGTTGACCTGCATTATTGCTGTCTGATAAAATAAAAGCCTGAGATGTTCACTTGAATATGATAATCCTAGGAAACCAACCAAGATGCCCAAGGGAGTTTTGCTATAAGAGGTAGCAAGACTGGGCCAGGGATTTAGCTCAGTGGTTCTGCTGCCTGCCTCAAAAGCGCAAGGACCTGAGTTTGATACCAATACCAAAAAAAAAAAAAAAAAAGAGGTAGCAAGACCAAGTGAGTTAGCACTCCCTAAGGTAGGGTACTAGTTCCTAGGTCTTGTGTCCTGATTTTTTAAAGTTGTTTTTTTTTCATTTTTATTAGCACGTTTGCAGTGTATAATGATTACATTCATCGTGGGGAGCTGGTACCTGATTTGTTGCTGATGTGTCCTTATCTGTTTTCACCGTGCTTCTGTTTCTCTTTCACAAAATGAGATAAATTAACCTTGTTCTATATTTAAGTGTTAACCCATGTTTGCTTTCCAACAGGAAGTTTTTAGACCCAGCTTATAAAAGACTCCTGAGCAACCCCAAAGAAAGCATACACAAGATTTGCAACTGCTCTTTCTTACCTCGTCATCGTTGGTAACTATTCCTTTCTCAAGTTTAAGTGGGCTGTTTTCTGAGGTTCTGCCATTTTGAAACCTGAAAAAGAGGCAGAACATCTGCTGCATCTGCTAACTTGGCGTCTTGGCTCTTCTATATGTCTCAATCTCCCTCCACTAAATTTAGGGGCCTAATTTGGATTAATCACAAATGGAATGTGTAGTAAAGAATAGGACTGCAGAGTAAACGGCTAAACAAATAGGACCTCTTGGAGATATGCTGACATTCAATGAGTTAGTTTCTTCAAAAATAAAAGTTTTGGGTCAAAGAAGTACTCTAAACGAGGCTCGCCTATAATCCCAGCACTCTGGGAAGGTGTCTCAGGAAAGAAAAAAGGAAGATCATAGCTTTGAGCCCAAACTGGGCAATTAGTGATAATTTGTGTCAAAAAAAAGAGGGGCTGGGGATGTAGTTCAGTGTGCAGGCCCTGGGTTTGATCTCCAGCACTGAAAAAAAAATGCCCTAGTAGACTGCCTAGAGAAATTCTTTTGGACAGTCAGACCCTTACAACATCCTTAAAGACCACCTACTAATTTGAATGCATACTTCTCTCTTCCTCCACATGGAAATGGCCTTTGTCAGTGACTGGTTAACAATTAGCCAGTGAATCTATGAGAAGGAATATAGGTTGTGACACTTCACAATTCAATATCCATTACTTATGAAATGAGGACTATCTCATTTTCCTAACCATATCTAAGATTGCTCTTCCTAGAATTAAGGTGGTAAAAGTGATCATCAATGGCAAATATTTTCATATTCTGCTCTTTCCCTTACTTTCGCATCTCTCACCTGACACTGGTTCCCTTTGAGGAAAAAGGAAAGAGGTAGAAGTCACAATATTTAATAAATACTGGGAATTCTCTGGTTCTTTTTAAACTTACTTACAGCCAGAACATAGAAAAAAAATGTTCATCAGTAAGACTAGGTTAATAATTAAAATAAATGATCCTCTTCCTCCTTGGAGATAGTTCCATTTTGGGGTTCAACTAGCTCAAATTTAGAAGAATTCTGCAAGTACCTCAATTAGACTTCTCTCATTTAAAAATGAGAATAGCTGAACAAGGACCAAAATAATAAAAATAGAAATAGTCAAGCTAGGTAGTTGGTAGCTCAACTGGCTATAGCATGATATAAATAATTCTGTTATACCAAATGGAGTCAGGTTGGGTATCACAATTCCAAATCCAAGATCAAATTCCATCCAGGGATGATTTTTTTTTTTTTTTTTTGGTACCGGGGAGCGAACTTGGTTCCTTGCGCTTGCACAGCAGGTGGCGAAACCACTGAGCTAAATCCCCGGCCCAAGGGATGATTGACTTTCATCTATTGCTGTTCCTTGCTGGCCATCAGATAACCATTAATTCAACCAAGAAATTGTTTATTCATTTGCTTGTACTGTAAGGCCTTCCCACTGAGTAAGCTATACCCCCAGCCTTTATTTATTTATTAAATTTTGAGATGTGGTTTCACTAAGTCATTACATTTTCCAGGCTAGGCTCAAACTCATGATCCTCCTGCCTCAGCCTCCTGGATTACTGGGATTACAGGTATGCACTACCATGCCAGCCCAGGAAATGGGTCTTAAAAATGGCCCCAAGGGGAACAGGAGACTCACTGTGGATAAACCAAAATAAATTTATCCCAATTAACATCTTCAAGTTTGTACTTGTTTGATTGTCCTATGGCTGTAAATTATCTAATAATTAAAAATATAACACAATCTTTATAGCGGCACTTTTAAAAATGATTCTCTGCTATCTAAAAGGCAGCACAGATTCCAGATACTCTTCTTTGAGGCCAATTTAAAGCCTAGAACTACACAAAAAGTACTTCTTTAGCCAGCCCAACAGTGTTCACTTTGAACAATCCTTTCATCAAAGTTACCCTGCTTGATGCATGAAATAGCAAGGGTTTTTTTGTTTGTTTTTGTTTTTTAGCAAGTTTTTTTTTTTAAATCTGGAATCAGTCAATTAAAATATCTTTAATGGGGACCTACTCTGTGATTAGCACTGTTCAGAATGCTTTGGATTACAAAGCAAGTCAGTAGTCAGGCGTGGTGGCACATGCCTGTAATCCCAGCACTTGGGAGACTGAGACAGGAGAATCATAAGTTCAAGGCCAGCCTGGACTACATAGTGAGTTCAAGGCAGCCTGGGATACATAGGGAGACCTTGTATCAAAAAAAAACCACCAAGTATAAAGTGGTATTTATAATTTAGTTGAGTAAACAGAACAACATACTTGGCGTATTTCTTTGGTCCCATTGTTGTTCACTGCTAATTAGGGAAACCCAAACTCAGTGTCTCTAAATAGTCCACATTCTGCAGGGATTCAACTCAATCCATTCTTTCGTTAGCACACCCTGTATGCCCCTCCTGGTTCTTGATCCTGTGTGGGAAACAAGGAAAGACTGATAGATGAAATGTAGGTGTAGAAAATACATAAAACATACCAGCTACTCAGGAGGCTAAGGCCAGAGGATCACAAGTTTGAGCCATCTTGGGCAATTTAGCAAGACCCTGTCTCTAAAATAAATAAGTGAATAGATACATAGATAAATAAATTTAGCAAAGTGGGTCTGGGGAGCCTAGTAGTAGGAGCACTTACCTAGCATACACAAGGCTCTGGGTTCAGTCCTCATTACTGCCAAAAAGAAAGAAAAGAGAAAAGAAAATGCACAAAATATGATGGTCCTTATCCACAAGAAATAAAGGCTACTTGGTCAGTGGGGTGGGGGTGGGGAGAGGAGGTGATTATAAAATGTGAAGCAATAATGACAGCCACATTTTTATATAGTAGGTAAGTCAGTTCATCTCAATTTCCTCATCTGTAAGTGAAGGGCATTTACCAAATGATTGAAAGGAGACATTCTAATTCCATGATAGTAGTAAGATTTACCTGTGAGAAGATCTGAAATAAAATTAATTCACATTTATCAGTAGCAGAATAAAGTTGGAGGAACTGCCTTCTTTTAAATTGCCTTTCAACAAACCACACTGGAGAAGCTGGAAAAATGTGTGTGTGTGTGTTTGTGTGTGTGTGTGTGTGTGTGTGTGTGTGTGTGTACTGGGACAGGGCACTGGGGATTGCTATACTTTTTGACATAGACAATTAGATGTGGTAGATACAGTCAACAATGTAGAATTCACCATTTAGAGAAGGGAGAGGTCAGTGAGGCTTGGGAAGAGTTTACCTAAAGGATGTAGAGTTTGAGCCAGGTCTTGCAGGATTGTGTGTGAAGAAGCCTAACTGAAAGGCTAATTGTTGCTGTTTTAAGTACTGAGAAATAAAGACAGGTAGAGAGGTTAGGATTCCAAAGATTAAGTAAAACTTTAATAAGACCTAGTAGTCCAAATTCCTATAAAGATGGAAGATCTAGAAAGACAGTTAATGTTTGTGTTGATAGGTAATTTTTTAGGATTTGGGTCTAGTTTTATTGTCCAGACCCTAGACCCTAAAGATATTTGTCTAGAGATTATGATTAGATTGAACCAAACCCTAAAAGTTACCTTCCAGGGGAATAGACTAATAAGCTGTTAATCTTTTTCTCACCTATAGCTTTTCTGGAATTGTAAGTCCACTTTTAAGTGTATACTGAAGTAAAAGTAAGAAGGAGCTATCAAATTGGAAGTTACCAGGCTTGTGTTGCTCGTGTGTACCGCAGGCTGTGGGAAAAATCACACAAACACAAAATTACATTTAAAATAAAAACAGAAAGATCTAGCTGAGAGTAGGGGGCACATAGCTAGCTATATGCTCAGCTACTTGAGAAGCCAAGGCAGGAGGATCACTTGAACCCAGGAGTTTGAGGCTAGCCTGGGGAACACAGAAAGACCCTATATGCAAGAAGAAGAAAAAGAAGGAGAAGGAGAAGGAAGAAAAAGGGGGAGAGGGAGTGGAAGGGGAAGAAAAGGAGCAAGAAAGGAAGAACAAAAAAGAGGAAGAGGAGGAAGGAGGAGGAGGAAGGAAGAGGAAGAAGGGGGAAGAGGATCAGGGAAGAAAGACTGAAGAAGAGAGAAGAGGAAGAAGAGGGGGGGAAGAAGAGGAAAAAGAGGGGGAGGAGGAAGAATGAAGAAAAAGAAGAGGAGCAAGGAAGGAAGAATGAAGAAGAGGAGGAGGAAGAAGGCAGATAAAGAAGAAGAAAAAGAAAGAAAGAAAAAAAAGAGAAAATAATCTGGGGTACAGTACCTTTAAGGACATCAGGAAATCTCAGGGAAGAAAAGGAAATTCCTTGATATGGAAACTTTCCATTTTGAAAATATCTTAATTACTCTCTTCTGGATTCTGGAGGAGACACAAGGAATTTGTGATGAACAGGCAATCTAGAACGCTGAGGTGTTCCATATTGAAACAAAGAGAATGAAAAGAAAAAAGACATACTTAAAATCTACTCTTTTGTGCTCAGATTTTTTAACCTATGACTTCTGTACACACGCACGCATACACAGATGCATACTGATCTTTTCAACATCTCTCAGTCAGTCTCTACTTCAGTCAGTATTTTCATACCATTCCTCACAAGTAAGGTACATACATAGTGAACATTTCTCTCTTAGTCCCCATGCTTAAAACACTGCATAATAACTATTTGTATCTTCTTTTTTGTGTGTTTTTCTACTCAGGTCTTTCTTCTAAACACAAAGCTTTCTAGATCAATACCACACTCAAGACTACAAGCATTATTTTTCATGAATGTAATTATATGGTATCGTGTATTTTTATTTATACTTTTCTTATAGGCAGGTTTTATCTGCTTCCTAAGTGGTCAGCTCCTTAAAAATGGAAATGTGAATTTTATACATATTTGTACCCCCATTAAGTTTTGTATGTTAACATTCAAAATCAGTATTCATTTATTTTAGCATATTTACTGCACATTCGTCGTGTGTTAGACACCATCGTCGGTGATGGGAACCAAATATAGCTTAAATGTATTCTTGACCTTAACCGGAGGTGTCAAGGTAAAATTTTTTTTGGGGGGGTACAGGGGATCGAACTCCGGTCCTTGAGCTTGCACAGCAGGCGGTGAAACCACTGAGCTAAATCCCTGACCCAAGGTAAAATTTTTAAAAACCCATTAAAATGGGCAAATAATGGCCACATTTGTTCTGTAGGAGTATTTTTACTGATGAATTATTTATTGTAATTTTATGATTTTTGTTATATTATACAATGTGTACTTAACAGGAAAATAAAACATGAATAAAATAAAATATTGATATTTTAATATGTAATGAGTGTTTAGAATAAACATCATTTTCAACATTAACTGTTTACTTGCTTATGAAATCTAAAAATAACAATAGAAATACATTCCTATGTGAACTACAATGAAAATACAAATAAAATTCTACCACAGAAATAATCTTTACTTCAATTTTCACACCTAAGACACTCTTCACACATTAAAACAGTATGTTTCATACACAAATATTGCATACACTGATATCACGTATTTTTTAATCTTCCTGTCTTTTTTGGTAGGACATACTTGACATCTTGCTGGTCTTCCTGATTTGTTTTAGGAGGTTCTTGTGATGTTTCACCTATCCACAGGTGAAAAAATTCAGTCTGCTCCAGAATTCTTTTGTGGCGTTCTTTGGCTAGATACATATTGTTCTTCTTCTGTTGTAATCAATCATTTAACAATTCTAGTCCCAATACTTTAAGAAAATTTATCTGTGATATTTTGTGCTTCTTATTTTCTTTGTAAACTGTGAAATTATTTATGCCTGACATGTTTCGGATCAAGAAAACACAACCATTGTCCAATGCTTCGGGCTTTGAGTGACATCATAGTTGCTGCATGACTTGTCAGCAACATCTACTCCACCTTTCATTTTGTTGTAAAATGTGACTATTTTGTGGTTTTATTTGTGTTGATTCACTATCAATCTTTTTTTTGGGGGGTGTGGTTTTGAGACAGGGCATTGCTATACAGTTCACACTAGCCTGGAATTCACTATATAGCATGGGCTAACCTTGAACTCACAGGATCCTCCTGCCTCAGCCTCCCAAGTGCTGGGATTACAGGTGTGCGCCACCACACACAGCTTCACTATTAACCTTCACTATTAATCTTCTATTAATCTTCACCATTAATCTTCACTGTTAATCAAGACCTCATCTTGCTCTTTCTCACTGTCACAAACGTTTTTTGGCTTACATGATCCAAGTCATCCTTGGTAGCTGAGTCACTTTGGTGAGCCACTTTTAACCTCCTCCTAGAGGTGTAAAAGCAGATTTTCATGCAACATTGTACTGAATTGAGTTAATTCTACCAGAAAAATCAAAAGAAAACATTTAATAAAACAAATTATAAATACACAAAAATGTAACACAGTGAGTGCATAAAGTGGGTAAAAATTCAACTGTTTATACTTTATTTTTTAAAATTAATTTTATCAGTACATTTTAGGTATACAACATAATGACATTCATCATTGGAAATTTGTACCTTTACATAATCTCTCTTGGTTCTTT